GGGAGTGGAACGGTATTATCTTGAAATTCCCCCCAACCCAAACTGTTCTGTGATTCCAGGATTCTATAAATACCGATTTTTGTGGCATTTTTGATGGTGATAATGCTGGGTTTGAGTTTATTTTGGGTTGGTACCTGTGAGGGGTTATTGGAGTGAGGGCTGCCCCATTGCACATCATGGAGCAAGGGAGGCAGTTCCGGGCATAGATGGCATCCACTCCTTTAGAAAGCACTTTAATATCTTCACCATCACATAGAGGCAAAGAAAAATGGCTTTGGAGATGGTAAAATGCATTTCCCCCAACAGGTAATTTTTAAAGTCAGACCTTACTGTCTTAAAACCACAAATGAACAAATGCAGGTCACAAAGGAATGACAGTGCCTGTTCTGAGCCCCTGTAATTAGGCTTTGACTAATTTATTTCATTTCTCAGCTTTCTTTGCTGGGATGTAGCTTCTTGCTGCTTCCCTGATGACAGGGCTCAGAGCAAGGATAGGGGTGGAGAATCCAGACTAGGGGCTTATAAAACAGGAGACAAATGAAGGCAGCATAAGGAAGAAGGAGCAGAGAGCTGTATAACCTCTCCTCTAATCACTAGTTTTTGTATCTCTCTCCCTCAGTGTCTCTTTCCAGATGGATCCATTATGTCTATTAAATAGACCTCTAGTCCAGCATCCTGAATTTAAAGCTTTCATCCCTGTTTGAACTTTCATGTTGAACTTTCCCATTTTAGAAGGATGGATTATCTCAGTTTGTGTTCTCTGTCTGCAGCCACTGCATAAGCTCCTGCTGTACCTGATGGTCCTTCAGATACTTCCTGGCAATTGAGCCTAATAGTGTTCAATGATCATGATAATTTTTTAACCTAAGTCCAAATGCCTTAAGGATCCTTTAGAGGCAGAAATGTTGCTTTCCTGCTTTTGCAGCAGCAGCTGAGCTTGCCAGCATGAGGAAGATGATTGTTCGGTGTCACTGTTAACACTCCCTGGTGTGGACAGAGACAGAGGGAAAAGAGAGCCCGACGATAATGAGACGAAATGGTTCAGAGTGGGGTTTTAGCCTGACATTAATGCATTAGGGATCCAGCTTCTGTGGGAGCTAATGGAGCTGCTGCTATGATTATCAGTGCCTCTGCAGACAAATAAGACAGTGCTGGTAATGAGTGAGGCAGCACCGGGTACAGGAGAGCTTATCACTGTCAGTGATGCCTCTCCTGGTACCTTTTGGGTGTCTCCTGCCATCTCTCTGTCCTCAGAGGCAGAGATAGCTCACTCCTCTGTCAGAGATAGCTCACTCACTGCCATCCCCATCAGGTTTGGGCAGTGGGGTTATGTGGTATTCAGGGAGACACACAGAGGACTTGCAGGATAGGGAAGGGGCTGACTGAGGATGGTTTTTTGAGTACAGCACCTCAGCTGCTGTTAGTCTGTAGGTCTGGGTTTGATGTGTTCCTGCAACTGCAGATTCAACACAAGAGCCCTTCTGGAAGGCTGGAAATAGCTTCATTATTTCCAGATACACATCTCAGTGCATTCCTCACCTCAGCCTGAGCTCAACTTGGGTGGTTTTTTCACAAGTCAAGACATTTCTCCTGTTCCCTGAGTCAGCCTCTCCCTGGGGACCATCCCTGTCACCCACAGATGCTCTGAGAGCCAAGCACAGGTACAGTGAGCAAACCAGCTTTGGTGTGTCTGAACTGCCTGATTCACACAGGTTGAAGGGCAAAGTTAATTGTAGGGGTGATGTCTGTCACCTCTGCCCTCTGGTGACCTTTAGACTGTGATTTCCTAGCTGGGGAAAATGGAAGTGATGCCTTGACTGAGACACTATCAGTGGACTTAAAAAAAAAAAAAAAACCAAAACCAAAAAAACAACCAAAAAAAAAAAAACCCCACAAAAAAACAAAACCAAAAAAATCCCTCAGGAAACCGAATGAGATATTTGGAATAGTAAAATGGCCCAGGTTGTGGCTAAAAAGAGAGTTTGTGGCTGCCAGGGTAGTGTGAGAGGAAGGAGGTGAAAGCCTAATCGGGCTCTCAGACTCCTTACCCTCCTCCAGATGCCTCCCCTGTGGTTGGGTGCATTAGCTATAAACCAAGAAAAACCAGCTTCTCTGGGAGGTGATAAGAACAGATGAAACAGTAAATCATTAAGCAGACACAGTGTAGGGTACCATAATAAACCGGGGGCAAAGAGCACAAATGACAAGCCAGCAGCCAGCCGGGACAGGGGGGTGTTGCCAAACATGGCTGGGTGATAAGGGAAGGGACAAAGTCACATTCAGCAGGGATGCCCTGGGATGGTGGCTGTGGCCACCAACGCCAGCACCCACTGGACCTTCAGCTTGTTCTTTTCTCTGCTGATTGTGTCGCACTTCCTTTGGAGCTACAGGGATAAACAAGAGCTGTTTGCCTCAGGGCACAACATAACTGTGGCTGGTTTTTTTACCTGTGCTTGCCTATTGCATGTTTTTCAGAGGAGGAAGAGAAGCAGGAGAAATAGTTTTGCTGGCCACGTGTCCCAGCTGAGCCATGTGCTCCTTGCTATACGGCAGGAATGGAGACCAGCCACCCCAGAAGAGTCCCCATGACCCCCTGAGCTCAGCCCAGATCACATAAGCACTGTAAGGTGGCTGTGCATACCCTACTTAGCTGATCTTTTAATTGTGATTGATCAGTGTATCCTTCAGATCCGTCCCAGTTTGATTGCATCGATCTCAGCTGGCAAAACATCAGGCCACACTTTATATCAGCCTTTAATATGTAACTGCAAGAGCTACATCAGTTATATATTTGACTGTATATTGCTATGGTCATGTTATAATTGTAGCATTAATACAGGAGAATATGACAGCAATCCTTCTTGTGGTATTCTGGGATGGGTTTGGTTCTGCTTCCATTTATTACCCCAATATTTCATCATCCCTCCTTGTACCAGATCTAAATTTCCCCTCTTTCAGTTTAAAGCCATTACCCCCATTTCATGTATTTGGTGAGATTCTCTACTTACTCAGAAAATGCAGATTTTTTTCCAGCCCTCTCCATGGGTTGGGAATGCTGCTCCCTTAATCACAGGGAAACAGTTGGATGCTCCCATTCCCCAACTGCCCCTTTCAAAGGACTGCAGAAATGATTGTATTAACCCACTGGACTGTGCTAGCCCTGCTGGTAAACAGCATCTTGGTTTGATTTTCTGTTTAATTACCCAAGGCACCCTTTGTCAATAAATCTTTCCTTTTAAGTCACGAAATAAAGCAGAACTCTGCAGTGCTGATAGTGACCTGCAATGCTGCCAGCTCATACCATGCCCTTTCCATGCACAGCTTTTCCACTCTTGGATTAAATCCCCCCTAAATTCATCTTCATGAACCCACAGGGATAGCTCAGAGTTGCTTGGTGAAGACAGGATGGAAACCAGCCTGGTGGCACTGCAGGAATACCAGCCCTGTGTGCTGCCCTGTGTGGCTGCATCTGCCAGGGTGGTGTTTGCACACGGAGCCAATGTTTGCTTTGCTCGAGCTGTTGGGTTGGCTGTTTGGTTAAACCAGCTTGCATCAGGCACGTTGGTTGCAGGGATTTAGGAGATTAGTTTTAACCCTGTGGATTTTCCTGCTTGGGGACAGACTCCTCTGGGAGATGGTATCTGCACCAGCCATGGACTTCCAGGGATGAAACAAGGTGTCCCTGGGAGAAACCAACCTGAAATCAGATAGTAATAAAGCCAAAGAAACAACTCCCTTTCTCCAAAGCTGAGAGCAACACAACTCATGTTTAACCCCACACAATTATCCCTTGTGTAACAGCAGAATAAGAATATTTTTGGTTTATATTTTCAGCAAGGGAGGACAGAAGCCCAAAATGCTGCTGGGGAAGGCAGTTTCAGGATAATCAGGATGTCTGGGATGGGGAGATGAGATCCAGCTCCAAACCATGCAACTCCTGCTATGTGGAGGGACAGCATCCACTCCACAAGTGAGACAGTTTGTGCCCATGGTTAGGTGTGGATTGGTACAGAGAAGTAACTAAACAGAGAAGGAAGCCCTGGGCACCAGCAGCACAGCCTTGTTATGAATTAAAACATTCCTAATTGCCCAGTCTGACACCACCTCTCACCAAGGCAGCCCTCAAACTTATGATTGTGCCCACATGAAAGAGCTGATCAGTTCTCAGCCTAATGAAGCAAACAGCAAACAGGAGCTGGCTGGGTTTAATTGCAGTAATTCTCCCAGGAAATGGGTCCCCCCGTATCCTGCAAACCATGCGTGTGTGCACTCCGGCACAGAGGCTCCAGCAGTTTGGTGAAAGTCCTGGTTTAGGGATGCTCAGGAGAGGAAAAAAGGAGTGTGAGCAGGTCAGGATGCAGGGGACAAATTGATTTGTTTGCCCAAACCCACAATGTTTTGTTTCCAGCAGCTTTTGGGGTATTTTTGAAGGTATATTTTTAACAAAATGCTTTGGTTTGTGGAATAAGTGCAGGATTTTTTCACCTCTTCCACTGCCTGAAATAATTCCAGAGATTTTAAAAAATTTTGGACTTTGCACACCACTTCTGTGGCTGTTCATGGAGCTAAAGAAACACTCTGCTGTTTATTCCTAGACATTCCTGTTTTCCCTGTGTATTATCTGTCCTACCTGGTCCTGAAAAGCCCTGGTCTGCAGCAGACCCTTATGTTAATACTTTCAGAATAGCAAGAACAGCAGGACCTACTGCTGAGAGAGATCCTTGGAATTAAAGGTTCAGGCTGGGATGTGTCAGACATTGCAGCAGATTTGGGGCTTTTTTGAAACAACAGTGGCTTTTTTTGACATTTTTTACTCTTGGGGCAAGGACCTCAGAGATGTCCCAGGGGTTCCCAGTGCTCCTTCCTATTCCCATGTCCATGTCAAGCCTGTTCCAGTCCTCCCTGAAAGGGAAATCCTATTTTTTTCCCAGTGTTATGCCAAATAACTTGTGTAAATTGAATAACTACATTGTTTTTCTTTGCCTTGTAGTCAGAAGAGGATGGCGAATTTTAAGGGTCATGCACTTCCAGGCAGCTTCTTCCTGCTCTTTGGCCTCTGGTGGTCTGTGAAATACCCACTGCAATATCTCAGCCAGAAAGTAAATAAAAAATCCCACAGGGCTTACTGTTTCCAGCGTGTGGATGCCATTGAAGGGGGAATCAAAATCCTCTTTTCTCTAATAGGTAAGGGTTATATTTCACTTGCTATGCCAGTATTCATTGATGACTGTACAGGAGCTCTGACTCCATAGAAACTGGTCCAGGTGTGGAAGTATCAGAGAGTCTTTAAGGCTGGAAAAGACCTCTTAGATCACTAAGTCCAACCACTAACCATTGCCACGTGCACCATTAAACATGAACTTGAGCACCATATCCACATATTTTTGAATACTTCCAAGTATGGTGATTCCAGCACTACCCTGGGCAGCCTGGATGCATCCTTGATGTCCATCTTGACTTGATCTCTGGTATAGTTTGATGTGGAAAAGCAAGTCTCATACCCCTTCTCAAAGATGAGCTGCCATTAAACACAGGCCTGATTTTTCCGTCCAGTCTTTTCTCTCTAATGCAAACTCACCAGTTCCTGCTTCAGAACCCCCAGCAGCAAGGGGCAGTCTCAACCATTGCAAATAAACCCCCAGAAACTCCATGCTCTTGGGTGTCCTGCAGGGATGCTGGCGGAGCAGTTTGTCCCCGATGGTCCCCACTTGTACCTGTACAGCGGGGAGAAGCACGACTGGGTGAAGCTGATGAACTGGCAGCACACCACCATGTACCTCTTCTATGGACTCTCCGGCGTGGTAGATGTCTTCACCTACATCTCCCAGGTGGTGCCGCAGGGTCTGGATCGCCTCATGTTGGCCGTGGCCGTGTTCGTTGAAGGTTGGTAGAAGGTGGTACTTAATTTGGGGGTAGATATTGGAGACCAAGTCAGAGAAGTGCTAAAATTTGCCTGACTGAGATATGGCTCCAGATGCCTCTGGAGATAGGACACATTGTAGGGGATATATTATGGCAGATTGGGATGGAATGAGACGGGAAATACAGTCACGGGTAGGTTCTGGTTTGGGATTTCTGAGGCTACTGCAGTGCAAAGCAGCAGAATGAGGTTCCTTGTTATGAGAAATGGCTGGTAAACTCTGCATTCCTCTGCCATCCACAGGCTGTTCTCCTGCCCCATATTCCCCCAAGAGCCATTAATTGCACTGCAGGCATCATTAGCCTCATCTTCTTGCATGGCAAGTGGCAATTTAAGTGATTTATTTCAGCTTCAGCACATCACAAATATCATTCTGTCCTCAGGCTGCCTTGCAAATCGCCAGCTGGGATTTCAGACCCCTTCTGGATCACAGAATCATATAAAGACTTGGCTGGGAAGGAAGCTTAAGGATCATCTAGTCCCAACACTCTCCTATGGGAAAAGAAGGCCTTGTTTATATAGAACCGTCCTTAATGAAGGCACAGCTCCCATTACTTTTCCTTTCCCAATCACAGCAGTTTTTGAGGCAGCAGCAGCAGGGGCAGCTTCACATGCACAGTTTGGCATGCAAGACCAGGAAATTATCATTAACAGCTTCCAAAAAATGGTGAAGTCTAGCAATAAGAAAGAAGGACACAGCAGAAGCCTGGCTAGAAGGGAAGGGTCATCTGAAGAGGTGATGGCACAGATGTGGGAAGAAAACTACCCTGTGCTTGGTCACTGTATTGCTCAGATCCTCCTGTTCTAAGGTTGGGCATCTCATCCTTCCAGGATGCTGGGATGCCAGGAGGCCTAGGGGATGGTGCTGTGTGGAGTCCCCTCTTTCCATGATGGCCTGTCTCAATTTGCCATCCAGGCAGGTGATTTACTCAGCTCGGTGGACGTGGCTGTTGTTGTTAATGCTGCTCTAAGCAAGGCTTGTGTTTTGGCAGGTTGTCTCTTCTATTACCACGTCCTTCACCGCCCCTTGTTGGATCAGCACATCCACTCCCTGCTGCTCATCACCATCTTCGCTGGGGCTGGCAGCATCCTGCTGGAGGTTTTCCTCCGTGACAACATTGTCCTGGAGATGTTCCGAGCCCACATCACCATCGTCCAGGGAACGTGGTTCTGGCAGGTCCGTTCTGCCGTCCCAGAGCAATGAAGCAAAGGGACAAGGGGGGAAACAAGTTGTACATCACGTATCAATCACACATCTCCCAAGGATTATTTTGCCAGGCTCACTTCATAAATAGCTCATAACCCAGAATGAAAATTTACTTATCACAGGTCATCTCTGATGGCTGCTCCTGCTGCAAGAGCTGTTTGTTTTGCCTCAATGCTTCTCCAGGGGGAAGAGCAAAAGCAAGTGAGCAACATTTTACAGTACCTAACGACCAAGTTCTAATTGCTTAATGTGTCTAATGCTCCCTGCAGCCCTCCCTCTGGTTTAGTGAAAAGATACAAACCCCACCAGCAATAAAACAGATGAGTTAGAATACAGGCAGCTGCTTGCTTTGGTAGGAGTTGGGAAAGCAAAGAAATCAGTTGGAGATAATTGCTCTCAGAACTAAGCTGTCCAAAAAAACCCCAACAAACAAAAAAAAAGAAACAAAACCAAACCAACCAACCAGCCAACCAGCCAAAAATAAACAAACAAGAAAAGAACCAAAATAACCACCCAAAAACCAAACGACTTTCCCTTCTCTTTTTCAAGGCTGTACTAGCTCAAACCAGCCTTTATTCAGAGGTAAAAAACTGGGCTGAGCTTGCAAAACACAAAATCTGGAGTTTTTAAAGGACAGCTTGCAATTTGGAATGCTGAGGGACAATTGTGTCTGGATATTGAACAGAAAAAGAGATATCTGAAGCACAGATTTACTTTGTGTTGCCTCTCAGTGCAAGGATGAACTTCACTCTCAGCAAAAACCTCTACCCTGGTCAGGGCTCAAGTTCCTTGGTCACCACATGAAAAAAGGTGACTCTGTGAGGGTGATGAAGCTCTGGCACAGGTTGTTTAAGGTCCCATCCAACCCAAACCATTCTGGCATTTGGGGATTCTGTAATTTTTTTCCCAGTGTAGTTGTTCCACCAACTTCTTGTTCCACCCAGATCGGTGTTGTGCTGTTCCAGCCATGGGGAGGTCCTGTGTGGGATGAGAATGATCACAGCAACATCATGTTCCTCACGATGTGCTTCTTCTGGCACTGGGCAGCTGCTGTGGCCATCCTGGCTGTGAACTACACCCTCGCATACTGGTACGGCTGGGACAGAGCCTGGGATGGGCTGGGACAGGAACTGGGGCAGGTCTGGGGTAGCAGGCAGAGTGGGATGTCTGTAGTGAGACAGATGTAACCCAGCCCCTCCTGCAGTACAAAATCACAGCTGAATAAGCAGTCCCAGAATACTGCAGGTTTTAGGGTACAGTATTTGTTGAGTGCACAGAATGCAAAACAGTGTCAGCAAGAGGCACGGACATTAAATGGGAGGAAGTCAAAAACTGAGTCCCTAGAGGTGCTCCTGGAAGTCACACTGCTTATTTCCCTCTGCAATGAGTGCTGAAGTCAAACTTTAGTTTGACAGAGATATCAAAGCATTAGCAGGACCCCCTGGCACTTCATACTCTGCCTTACAAGGACTTCAGAGCAGTTGAAGGTCACTGAATTCTTAGAGGTACAAAAACGAAGACATTACCAGCCCCCAGCTTGGCTTTTCCAAGGGAATGAGAAGATTATCCCACTTTAAGGGATGCTCTGAGCGATGCTGTGCAAGCTACAGTATGGATAGTTCAGTCCATGCCATCAAATAGACTTTATATAGGACAAAAAACACTCAATCCCCCATCAATAGCATTTTAGGACCTCTAGAATGAGGGTTCTGGTGAGTGGCATTAGGTTGGGGTTTTTTCTAACAATGATTTATTGCTGCTGTGCTGCAGCTGTCTCCAGAGGCTCCGGAGAGGCAGTGGAGAGCCCTACATCAGCCTGGGGGTCCGGCAGCAGAAGTGTGACAGCAGCTCCCAAGCTGCCTTCTTGAACGGCTCTGATGAAGAGTGAAGAGGGTACAAACTCCTGCTCCAAATACATGAACAGTCCCTTTTCCTGAAGAAACAAATAGAATGAAATATTTTTGTTTGGAAGAGTGAGAGGTGCCCCCGTGGTGCTGCTGGGAGGAAGGCTGAGCACACAGGGGTGGCTGCCCTCCATCCATACCCAGACATCTCTGGCTCAGACATGGGCACAGCTTGAAGTGATTTTTAGCAGCAAAAAAAAAAAGCATGGAAATTCACCATGACAAGATTACTTCATCCTGTGGGCTCCCCTGTATGCTCCCATAGGGATGGAGGGCATCCTTTGGCCAGCTGACTTTTCCAACAGCCTGAAGGCTTTGACCTTCTGTGATTGAAGTCAGGGAAATCTCCAGGCTGAGGTTATGAACCTCTGAAGAAAGGCATCACCCCAAGAACGAGTAAGAGAGTGTTGGATGTGAGATTATGGCAATTTTTGCAACACCAGGGCTTGATCGCACACAATACAAATGTTATTACTGAAGCTTTGAACTAAAGAGTGGTTTTGTTAATCATTTTCATGTTCACTTAAAGACTGAGAGAGTGAATAAATGTGAAATAAAAAATCCTCACTGAGCTGATATCCTTAAATTTAAGACTGATAAATTGTAGAGTGTGTAATAATAGCTTAGAAAAATCCATCCCTCAGACTTGCAAGGCCTAAAGGACTGTAAAATACGTAGCCATGCAGCAGGGATTCATGAAATGTCCCAGTTTTCCATTGAAAATAAACCCCCTCAGCTTGGAAAGCAAGATGAAACAAGCACATTGTTTTAGGCTGCCTTTACTAGCAGGGTGCTAGTAAAATTTCTTGCAAAAAGTGACTGGAAGTGTCGTCTCCTAGACAGGATGAAAATATGCTAATATGGGAATTAAAAAAATTATATATGTACATCTATATGTATAAATAAATAAAAAAACCGCCAGCACAAGGTAAATTGCCATTGTTCATGTCTCAAACCCCAGGGCCAGAAGGATACTCTGCGCTGAGATCTTCTCCCATCTGTGTGGTGGGGGTTTTGCAAGAGATTTTTCTGCTCATGTTCATGACTGCATAGGCCCAAGGGATGGCAAAGCTTGTCCTTTAACCCTTTTCCCTTTATGCAAAGAGCCTGTCACAGACTATAGAGACTGCAGCCTGAATTTTATTGCTTACTAACTATGCTATAAAGAGTAGTTTTCCTTGAATGCCAGCTTTCCTGTATATCTACTTATACGCTGGTTTGTTTTGCAGGGCTGGATACTGGGAGGTGCAAACAGACTGGGCATGATGAGAATGAAGCAGCAGAGCTGCATCTCCATAAATCCATCTCTTAAACTCAATACTGGGTCTCATGAGTTGTAACCACTGAACACGAGGAGCATTTTGTAGATATCTTTTTTTAAGCCAAGGCAGAAGAGTTTTTCCAAACATCACAAATTCCTCTGGCTGCTGTGTGGAGACACAAACCATTCTGCAGATGCCACCTGCTAATGGCAGAGACCCCCCAACCCCCTGTGAGGAAGGGGACAAACCAAGTTAATGGGAGTGCTGCTGGACAGGGACGGGTTAATTGAAGAGCAAAAAGGCCTTGTGTGATGCTCTGAATTATTTCTGGTCTTTTGTGAATTATTTTCTTTTAGGTAACAGCCCAAGCATCACTATTGGCATTAAACAGCCAGGGGAGGGCAGCAGCTGCTGTTGGACTAGGAACGGATCCAAGCTGGATGCAGTCATCTTCCTCCTGCCCACCCTCGAAAGCCAGAGGTTTTTTCCATTCCAAGGCACAATGAAAGCACAGGGCACAAATGAAAGCTGACTTTGGTTTTAAAAGCACTCTTTGCTTTTGGAATTGGGATAGGTTTATTTAATTCTTCACAGCTCTTAATCAAGTTGTTGTCTCCTTTCCCCCCTCCTTTCTTTGGCCCCTGTCACTGTATGGCAACAAAACACCTTTTTCCTCCACAGCAGTGTCTGGAATAGTTTCTGCTTGCCTCATTAACTCCCTGCTCCCACAAACATCCCAGGACTGTCAGCAAAGCACTCACTAATTTGTTTTCCAGCTCTGGAGCACATTCTTTTCTGAAGTATGAAGGTCAGGAAAGGAGGAGAGATCCAGCCTGTGATTAAGGAAGGAAATACAGTTTGAATTCATTTCTGCATGAGAATTAATGATTTTAATTTCAACTAAAAACAGTTTGTAAATAGTTTAGGTACTCAAACAAGGTATGAAGGTGTCTGGATCAGCGGTACAGAGATGGTTTATTGTACAGAGGTGCAACCTTAAGCCATCCTCACAATTTCTTGAGTGATGGATACTTTAGGACAGTCCTAGATGGAGACTTGCTCTTAATACAACATTAATATCAAACAGTTGTTCTGGATCATGTTTTTCAGCATGTAATATTTGGACTTGATGGTCTTGGAGGTTTTCTCCACCTAAACCATTCTATGATTCTACAAATGAGTTAAAGTCTCTCTGTACTGGACCCATTGGCCATGCAGCTGGAGTGGGCTGGGAGTGTGCTTGTGTCCATATCCACACTGATTTTAAAAAGAGTGGGATCCCTAGGTGGTGTCTCAGGGATGTTTTTTTCCTTGTGTAATTGTAGTCTGATGTTTGATTTTGTCAATCAGGTGTCCTGCTCATCCACAGCCGGAAGAAGCTGCTGATCCTGCCCTTCTCTTACAAAGGAGCCCAGACAAAACCTCCAAAGCAGCCAAAGATCCTGGCAGCTGCTCTTCCTGCAGCTGGAAAGACAAACCCTTCATCAGGAGCCAGCACAGCCCGTCCACGAGCCACTCATTCCTGGGGCAGAGATAGGATCTCTCCCTGCCACCCGCACAGCCACTTTTATGTGAGGCTGAAATGAAGGTGTAGCAGCAGAACAAGCCCTGCCTCTGCTTTTACCACCTGCTTTACCTCCTGTTGCCTGTTTATGAAACCTGGTGTTAACATTCGTCATAATAATAATAATAATACTTTGCACTTCCCAAACAACCATCCATCTGCAACACTCGAGCTGCTGGCAAACCTTTAATTAGATTGTGCCTCCCACCACCCCCAGGAAGGAGACAAACATTATCACATTTTTTCATTAGCACTGAGGCTGATGATGAACCTTCAGGGAGAAGATGTTGCAGTTACAGCTGAGAGAAAAAGAAAAAGAAAAAACCAAAAATATGAAATCAAATAGCTTGAGGAGCTGGAGGGAGTCAGACACAGCTCTGCCACCCTCAGTCTTTTCCTAGGAGTAAGATGGGGTATATTCCTAAAGAACTGAAATGGAATCACATCCATTTGTGCCTACGGTGATTTTAGCATGCATGGAGTTTCAGTGACCTGCTAGGGGATTTTGGGGGATTTGCTATCTTTTCTCCCAACCACCTGTCAGAGTTAAATCCTCATTTTTCTCATGGGGATGGTTTAAAAGAAACCTCCTTTTCTCAACTATTTAAGGCACTGAAAGCTTCCTTCACTGCCTGTAACTTAACTTACCCTTTTCATAGAGGCTTTCTCTCTGGTCTTTACTCTTTACTGGCCCTTTATGGAAACAGGCAGATTGATCCTCTGTGTAGATACTTTCCAGCTGGGCCTTGTTCTTCCCGTCACTCTGCAGCTGCTGCACTGCCACTTCATCTTTCCCCACTTTCTCCAAGGGCTTGACTCCTACTGCTTGGGAAGCAGCTTCTTGCCCTTTGGGATAGTGGTTTGTAGGGGTAGGTGGTTGCAGAAAGGAAAACTGAGCTGAAAGAGGTCCCCTTCAGCAGAAGGTGCTGCTGCAAAAAAGGTATGGTTTTCATCCTGCATTATTTTCAGGGGTAGTTCCGTAAGGAATAACTCCCACGAGCGTTGTATTTCTCCCTATGCTTGGATTTAATGTTGTAACTAGTTCCGAAGCTTAGGCTTGGGTAAAACTGCCATTTGTGGAAGCCCCTTTGCTACTGTGAGCTTCCCAGAACCCTTTTGCAGGTATACTCATCCCTGTTCCTCTCATCCTGCTTCTCAGGCACCTTTGGAAGTGAGCAGTGATGGGTGTATGGCACAGCCTCTTGTTTTTCTTCCTTCCTCCCACTTGATATGAAGATAATGGGAATAAAAGGCTTCTGGCTATGGCTTGGTGGCTTTTCTGTCTGTGCTGGACCACAGCCCATCACCCTGGGGAGGCTGCTTTTCTTCTGTACTGCTCCAGCCTTGGGTTTCTGTGAGTTGCTGGCTCTGGGTAGGGCTGGTCCTGCAGGCTTGCTTGGGGTGGGTTTGGCAACACGAGTGAGAGAAATATACAACTTCCTAGGAGAACTGCTGGTTTGGCAATGTGGCTGCACCAGGGTCAGGGGCTTGGGCAGGGCACTGTGGTGATGCTGAATGTTTCTGCACCATCACCTCAGTATTGTGGAAGGACATGAGGACATTTGGATGGCCTGAGGTATTTATTTGCCTGAAGCACTTGCACTGATCTCTGCAGCCATCAGTGGGATGGGCAGCAGCTTCAAGGTGGCTTGTGTTTGTGGCTGCTTGGTGAAGGGCAGTGTTGTACTAGAGAGGAAAAGGAGTGGAAACAGACTGCTGTGTCCCACCTGCCCATCTTTTGGGGGAGAGAGGGCCATGGCCCCCATTTCTCAGCTGCTGTGGGCTGGGAGGTGAAGCTCACAAAGGCTCTGCTCTGGTTTGTGAGCTCCTGGCCCAAAATCTGTCCTCAGGCAACTTTTATAAGATTGGACCCCCTAAAAGGGTTATCATGCCCCTGGCAACCCAATTTGCAGACTTCCAGCAGAGCCTGTCAGACCTTACTGCCGCCTTCTCTCTGCTTGGCTCTTTCCCCAGTCATCCCCAGCCCCATCCTAACAACTGAGTACACATGGTTGCCATGGGAACAGGAATTGGCTGCTTATTCTGATTTTTGTGGCAAACTCCAGGAGAGTTGTTGGCTGGTTTTTTAATAGCAGGCAGGAGGTGGCCCAGGTTGTGAAAGGTGGTTGACTCAGGGTGCTTTGAACTGGCCCACAGG